CCAGGCCCAGGTGCATTAAAGAAGTTACAGTATAGTACTGGTGAAGATACATTACTCTGCAGTTCCCAACTGTGTGCTGACAGCAGCACAAATTGATTCCACGAGGTTTGCAGAACCAGCCACAAAAGCATCTGTCTCGCTCCTCGCCACTGCTCTTTTCTGATGGGCCGCAGATTCTGCCCCTACCTTCAGCATACGGCTCTGTCCTGGCATGGCGCCAGCTGGCCACTCAGGGGAGGACAGCGGTGGTCATCTGTCAGTGCCAGTCTGTCAGCAGATAGTGGCTGATGGATGGAGCCGCGTGCTCGTCAATAAAACACACTTTGAAATGATTGCAGTGCTGTGCAAAGACCAAGCTGTAGTGCAGCGGGCTCTAGCCTTCACCCTTCGTCTCAAAGCATTGCCCTGCTGCTGAGATAAGTTTGTTTTTTTTATGCTGAAGAACAAACATGTATTGTATTCAACAAGGAGATGACATCATTCACTCAACACATACACTCACCTAAAGGATTTTTAGGAACACCTGTTCAATTTCTCATTAATGCAATTATCTAATCAACCAATCACATGGCAGTTGCTTCAATGCTTTTAGGGGTGTGGTCCTGGTCAAGACAATCTCCTGAACTCCAAACTGAATGTCAGAATGGGAAAGAAAGGTGATTTAAGCATTTTTGAGCGGGGCATGGTTGTTGGTGCCAGATGGGCCGGTCTGAGTATTTCTCACAATCTGCTCAGTTACTGGGATTTTCACGCACAAACATTTCTGGGGTTTACAAAGAATGGTGTGAAAAGGGAAAAACATCCAGTATGCGGCAGTCCTGTGGGTGAAAATGCCTTGTTGATGCTAGAGGTCAGAGGAGAATGGGCCGACTGATTCAAGCTGATAGAAGAGCAACTCTGACTGAAATAACCACTCGTTATGCAGCAAAGCATTTGTGAAGCCACAATACGCACAACCTTGAGGCGAATGGGATACAACAGTAGAAGACCCCACCGGGTACTTCATCTCCACTACAAATAGTAAAAAGAGGCTATGCAAGAGCTCACCAAAATGGGACAGTTGAAGACTGGAAAAATGTTGCCTGGTCTGATGATTCTCAATTTCTGTTGAGACATTCAGATGGTAGAGTCAGAATTTGGTGTAAAATGGTGGTGGTTGTGTAATGGTGTGGGGGATGTTTTCTTGGCACACTTTAGGCCCTTTAGTGCCAATTGGGCATCGGTTAAATGCCACGGCCTCCCTGAGCATTGTTTCTGACCATGTACATCCCTTTATGGCCACCATGTACCCATCCTCTGATGGCTACTTCCAGCAGGATAATGCACCATGTCACAAAGCTTGAATAATTTCAAACTGGTTTCTTGAACATGACAATGAGTTCACTGTACTAAAATGGCCCCCACAGTCACCAGATCTCAACCCAATAGAGCATCTTTGGGATGTGGTGGAACGGGAGCTTCGTGCCCTGGATGTGCATCCCACAAATCTCCATCAACTGCAAGATGCTATCCTAGCAATATGGGCCGACATTTCTAAAGAATGCTTTCAGCACCTTGTTGAATCAATGCCACGTAGAATTAAGGCAGTTCTGAAGGCGAAAGGGGGTCAAACACAGTATTAGTATGGTGTTCCTAATTATTGTTTAGGTGAGTATTAGTTCACCCAAATGCAATCCCTGTAATTTAGCCTACCTCATATCATCCCAAACAAAAAATGTTTTACTTCTGTAACTTCTGTACTAAAGCATAAAAATACCATAATACACTAGAATATATTTAGGAAACATGCTAAATTCACAACATACGTTTTCTGCATCAGAATATTTTTGTTTTGGTCTCTGCAATCCCGCTGACTGCCAGTTTACCCAAAAGTATCTAGACATCCCAAAAACCACAGTGTATTGCATCCATGGAGGACGGCAAATGAACTGGGCAGATTCTATCAGAAGTAAAAAGCCTTGGAATCAATCTAAATGACCTATGGCCAGTCCTCAATCTAGCTAATTGTTGGAGGGGGTGGGGGAAACAATTCTCTCCAATATTTTGAATTTGGGCTGCAGTACCAACTTTAACCACTAGCTATCAACATTACAAACTGCACCTTTATTGAATAGTTTTGTTTCTCGTTTAAGAAATGAGTTGGTCACTGGATCAATTTCAAGCTCCAAAAAGGGGTCCATACTACTTCTGTAGTAAAATAATAACTCTGTTCTGAGTCAAATCATTTCAATCCAACTCACACAACCTGAAACAATTCATTCACAAATTTGACTGATCCGATTCCCATTCAACTCTACGATCAGGTCACAGCGGCACTGGAGGAGAATATTTTCAGCGGATAACAGCTGAAATTTTGAGCTTTCATTCTAAAAGGGTATTACTTGGAATAACTACTATACTATTCTGATTCAACTTGAAAGCTACAGACATGATTCATTGTTACTGCTTGGAGAGAGCAACCTCCATACTGTAATGAAAACACTTTTTCTTCTTGTGATTTAGAGAAGAAGTTAGATCGGTTTGAAACAACATAAAGGTTTTCTTTCTTGGGTGAACTATTCCTTTGACTGAATGGAGCAACAGCCGTATTGTTCAAACAAGAATTATTGATCATCCAAACAACTATATAAAAAGAGACTTTGCAGGTTCCTATCAACTCTCACTCATTTAAAACTCTAGACCATCTTCTTTATAAATAAGAGAAACTTACAGTCCAAGCAGTGAACACACTCACAGGGTAAATCTTGGATGCCGATGCCAACTTTAATATTAATGCCATCAGTTCTTGAGTGAAAAGGGCAAATGCTGCTTCATGTCAAAGACCAACATCTATTTTTTTTTTAAACAGTGTGCACGTGTTGTCAGCATTTAGCTCCAATTTTCCTCAGCCTGCCAAGCAAATCCCTACACATACAAATAGGAGTGTATGATAGCCAACCTGACATTGGATTGAAAAACATGACAATTTGAAAACGCTTACCTTTCACTCTGCGGGAGACAGCGAGGTGACCTAGATTGATGTAGTGTGTGGGTGGGTGGGAGTATTCGAGAATGGACCAAACAGCTCATGTTAGACCGGGTTGGCATCAAGGTTTATTATCTTTTACAATGTACAATATACAAAAATATAGAGTACCAAAAATTCACAGTGTCTAAAAGGCAGTGATTACAGTCTACATCGCATATCTAACCACCAGGTCAGTTGCATAGAAGGGCACCAAGCCTTGTAGGGATGGAGCGCCTCATTGCGTCGTCTGGCTTTATGCGTGTTCCATAGCGGATATACTCCTTTCAAGACCCGACTTACACAGAGCAGCCGCATTTTACCAACATATATTATCTGGGCAGGCACATGGGAAGTGAATGTGGGGATTTAGTTTGACCTTTTAACTTTAAATAAGAGCTTAGAGTCTTGCCTATTCTTGATTTAGTTCCATGCATACAGAGTCAAAAAAAGCCTTTGAAAGACATTTTAAATCTGTGATTTACCTCAGGTAAAATAATGTTTTTAGACTGAATAAGAATATATATATATTTTATTAAAATTATACTAACAACATTATTTGCAATTATAATTACTTAAATGCAAAAAAATAGAAACAATTTGAGTGATGCTCTGTGATTTTAGGAGCCCCTGTAGAAAATGTATCCGCAAAGTCTCAGTGTGTGAGGAACAAAAATCAGCAAAATATTAAATGAGCATGAAGCCAAAAAAACAAAACAAAACAAAAACCTCTGCATTAAATACATTGAACAGCAGTGATCCAACAGCATGAACTCAATTAAAGACATGTATTTGAATGAGTGTGATATTTAAGTGCCTTAAAGGGATGCTCCACTTTTTTTTGGAAATAGGCTCATTTTACAACTCCCCCAGAGTTAAACAGTTGAGTTTCACCGTTTTCAAATCCATTCAGCCGATTTTCTGATATTTAGAAGAATATCAGTAACCAGACAGTATCTGGTCTCATTGACTTCCATAGTAAGAAAAAAAATATATACTATGGAAGTCAATGAGACCAGAAACTGTCTGGTTACTGATATTCTTCTAAATATCAAAAAATCAACTGAATACTTTCGAAAACGGTAAACCCCAACTGTTTAACTCTGGGGGAGTGGTAAAATGAGCCTATTTCCAAAAAAAGTGGAGTATCCCTTTAAATCATAACATTTGTAAACCGAAAATAAAAATCATCAATTGATATGAATTTTGCCCAAATTAATTAAAACACAACAGCATTCTCTAATAGTTTTGTAGGGACTGTAGTGTATCATCTTTGATGTTATCAATCAGGGTTGGTCAACAAGATGGGTCTCTCTACTGCAGTTAAACTCTGGACATGACAGGCTCCATCCCCACACAATCCCTATAGTTGGTATATTTACACAGCTGCGGTACGTATTATTTTACAACTATAAGGCGTTTAAAAAACAGTGTTAGCTTTACAATATACATGTACATTATACTAACCTTTGCGTGGCGTTACTTTTTTTGAGGTGGGACATTACTTAGTTACAACCCATGTACTCATGCTTAGCTGAAAGCATGATTGGCTTATCATTCATTAAATGAGCTTGATAAAATAGCTTAGTTTAGTTTTCAATGCCCTTTAGAAACCAAGCATACCATAAATACTACAGAGTTGCCATTCCTGAAACACTTTTATCGATAACTGAAGAGTTGCATCTGGAATGAGAAAAACAAGATCTGAGTTGGGCACATAGTGCTGCACACAGATTATATTTTCAGATATTGTTTGTGACAAAAACAGCGATCCATTGATCATTTCTGTGAGTGTTGACCAATTTTATGATGTACACCTTCGCTCATTTCTCTGATCAATGTGATGGTGGTTAGGAATGCACCATCTGGAAACAATAATAAAAAATAATATATGACATGTTCAGTACAGCTCCATCAATTTTTGAACTCGTCTCTTAAATAAACTCTATTGTCCATCTATTCTACAACTGCTGAATAGTTCCCTCTTTAAAATAACCGTACAAAACAAGTGCCAAGCTATCAGTATTTCCTACATTTTTTCATAATAAAATATAGTCCGTCTCGGTTTGAACCCAGTCATATTTAATATGACCACCGGGACTTACAGTAACAGAGTAGAACATGTTTGCTTCAGACCTAAGCATATTCCATGTTGGTGCAATATTCCTCAATTCCCATGCATTCGCAAGTAAAAAGGGTGTTTCAACTTTTTTACGGGAAGAATAAGGCATTCCTCTGTCCTTATCCTTCAACCGTGTTGAAAATCTATAGTTCGGTTCTGAATAGCATCCTATTTTAAGCAGTTCTTTTTCTTGCAGCTTGGTTGCGAACTCATATCCGAACAGTCCACCCAGGAGATGCATTGATCCCGCGACTCATCCTCTTTTGATCGAGATTTGCCTCTTAAAGGTCGGAAGTCAGTGGGAAGTCCTTACATTTGCATCCAAAGGTAACAATACCACCGTTCTAACCAAACCTGATAATGTCACCATTGATTGCTCTCTTTTGTCTGGTGTCTGGCTATTCTTCTCTTGTGTAGTTTTAAAAGGACTGCCACAGTGCGGCAAATTGCATTCCCGTAATGAATATTGCTGGAGTTGTACAGGATGCCAGCACGATTTTCTCTTCCCACCTTCAGCTTCAGCAAAATCTCCTTCCAGTAACGGGAGTTCTGCAGAGATCAATCAAGACATCCGTTTATCAAAGTCAGTGTAGCTACACAATCTTTAAAAAGTGCTGTTTGAGTCACTGGACTCTTCCTCCATTGGACACCACAAGGCATGACTTAGGAGAAACAGTCTTCAGGGGAGGGATCAGCTGGAATGTTGGAACAAGCACCACATCGGGTGCAGAGTGTCTGGGTGGGAAAAGGGAGGTGCGCGGCCTTGTCACCATGGCGATAAAGCTACAGATGGGCACACAAGTCTCAGCTGTGGTTATAGGTTCTGCAGGGAGAGGATGAGGAGTCTGGGCGGTAGTCATATTTGCCCAGCGCTGCGGGGTAGTACGTGGTGGTGTACACATTTGTCTGCTGAAGTGGAGTAGGGAAGTAGTTGGTCCTCTCATCCGGCAACAAATTGTTCTTATTCAGAGTCTGTAGAAAAAAAAAATATAGAAAGGAGAGTTAGATGAGCTGAGAGGCAAATCAGTCTCTCTGAGATGAAACACGGGGTTGTAATATCTGCACCACTAATATGTTTGAGCACCCCAAAAAAAAGCAAAATTAGCTCAACCAATGGCATGAGTTTCAACAGTATCATGCAGGCTTGCATTGAACTACACTTATGGACCAGAATATACCATAGACCTTCAAGTGGGGGCTATTGAACAACACAGAGAACAGATAGCATCATGCTAAAAACCACTAAGGACATAAAATCCAGAATACTGTAGAAAATGAATTGAGAAATCTGGTTCTTTTTTTTGCAATTCGGTTTGGCGTCACTAGTGGAGAAGAAATTACAAACTGCACCTTTAAATATGTATCACACCACTAAATGGAGCCCATAGAAGATAAGCTGTACAATTCAAAAGTGGTGAACTTATGGGTCATGGATGAAAGTAGCATGTGTGTATGAAGTGTAATGCTCTTGAGAAATATAATTTGTCTAGTTCCAAAAAACCTGCAGCTCAGGTACTGGGAGAGTGAAGCTACAGTATAAAACACACAAGATTGATTTGAGTGACTCACCGTAGCCGAGAACTGCTGTGCAACAATTATACTTTCCAATACCTGGCAAACAATATCTCTACAAATGGACTGAGATCTCCATTTTTAGTCTGAACAAGATAAATTCGAGGCTTCTGTTCATTCCTAGGATATCTAAGTCCACTAAAGGAGGGAGGGTTCTCACATTTAGCTCCAAAACTCTGGAATAGCTTTCCTGATATTGTTCAAGGCTCTGACTCGCTGTCCCAGTTTAAAACTAGATTAAAGACGCATCTCTTTAGCCAAGCATTCACATAATGCTTACCTTTTATTCCTCTGTTGGATCAGATCGAATGCATTTAATATTATAAAACTTGAAGAGTCTGTAGGTTATCTATATAGGTTGCGGTAGTAGTATTTACAGTCATTCCTGTGGATATTGCGTGAATGACGGGTGGTTGGGCAGATATTGTGTTTTGCGGTAGGTGGTATACCATACGGAAGCGTTGCCACTGAAACTGCATTAACACACCAGTGGGGCTCGACAGCCTTAGTCAAACGGGTTGGCGCATATGGTTGGGTTGCAGAGAGATTGTGAGATTGTGGTTAGGTCTCAGTAGCAGGAGGGATGTAGAGGTCAGTAAGCTGGGCTGAGTTGAGTGGGGGACGGAGGGGGGTCATTCTAGGACGCCAGAGTCACTGTCTTCAAGTTTTTAACATCTACTCTTGTGTAATGGAAATTATTTTGAACAGCAGCTATGCTAATTATTTCCCATTTGCTTTTCTGCTGTTATCTCGGGACGCGAGTCCTGAGGAAAATGGCATTCGTCAGCTCCAGTTTGTCTCCAGCCTCTCACGGAGACTTCAGATCCCCCAACACCTGCAATGAGACGACTAAACACCTCTGAAGAGACGACTCAAAGCTTGTGAAGAGACGCCTCAACGCCGGCGATATGTTATGCCCTGAAATATTACATGATTAACTAAATCTATTTTTCCATTTACATTTCTCAAATATGTATTGTGAAAAGTGCTATACAAATAACCTTGAATTGAATAGATGGAATTGCTGTTTTATCCAAGACTCAATGAGTGACAACAAGTGAATGTTTGTCTACTTTTACGATACCAAATGACATCTTCCTGACAATGGTATCTTCTGCAGACTTTCGACAAACAGCTCCGAATATTAATCCTGATTTACAACGTGGCTCTCAACGGATGCTTACTCAAACACCCATCAATCAGAGGAAGTCTGTGTCACACGGTTAATATCACACAGCCATCTGTGCACAGACGTGGCCTGGGAACGCATAGACAGAGGCCTGAGTGAGGATCTTTTACAGCAGACGCTTCTTTCTCGATCCACTCGAATTGCCCAAGTCTCATAATGAGTTTCAAGCAAGTACTGGTCATGCCGAAGATTGATGGAAAAAGTGGCAAAAGGCTCGCACAGGTGTCACAGGAAGGACACGAGGTGGAAGGAGAGCGAGCCGAGGCAAACTAATTGGATGAGCTCGACGATCAGTCACAACCAGCTGTGGGAGTCCACTGAGCGGCTGCTGCTTAAACAGCCTAATGGAGCCCATTAATAAAGACGGAGTGTGTGCCAGGAGCCAGAAGAGACGGCTAAACAAGCGGCCGCGGGGAAAGGGAAACCAGCGGTAATCTCCAAACTATCAGTTATCTAGCGATGCTCATTTTTGGACAAAACAAATGAGCGTGCTCTCCGACTGAGTTCGTTTTTTTGACCGCTAACAACTTTTTCTGTTCTGCTAGCTCATCTGTAGGAAAATGGAACGGTGAAATAAGTCATTTTTTGATGTTAAAATACTCAGCTTAATATGCAAACACTATATAAAAGGCATTTGTAGGCACATTCCTATGAAAAGTGTAAATGCTCAAAACTGCGGCCTGACCAGACCAACATCTGAAAAATAGATTTAAATATGGTTAAATGTGTAGAACGGAGCTGTTAAACACTCTTTTAAGCGGCTGAAGGCAAAATAAATAACAATATGAATAGGACATGCAATTTGTCAAAATCCACTGAGATTTATGTGGAATTGTCAGGCCATATATTCCATGCCTACATTAGACACTTATCTTCAGGCTCACACTGAATCTGCACAGATCTACAATGACCGTTATTCTCAAAGTTCAATATATCCCTGCATTTTGAGTGTCCATTAATTATATAATAAATATTTTGAAATATTTTCACTGTAGCAAAAATGGAAAATTGAGAATTTTTAATCTTCTTGTGTCACATGATCCCTGAAAAATCATTCTGATATGCTGATTTGGTGATGAAAAAAAAAAAAAAAATCCAATTATTATCACTATTGAAACTAGTTGTGCTGCTTAATATTTTTGTGGAAACCGTGATACTGAACATGTTTTCTAGGATTCTTTCATAAGAACATCATGAAATGGAAATCTTTTGTAACATTATAAATGTCCGTACTGTCAATTTTGATCAAATTCATGCGTCCTTACTAGGGCTGCACAATTAAACGCAATGAAGGCTGCGATTATTTTATGCTCAGCTTGTCAGTGCAGTGCGGCTAATTGGTATGTTTTATTTGAATGCCAGAGGGCGCTCTCACGCAGACATGCCAAATATGCATGTTTGACGCGCGTTGCTTTTTCAAATGCTCTTTATAAGAGACTCAAACTCACAGTGCTTTCAGATGGAGTAGCCTTTACAGAGCCATACATCAATGACAAGCCGCGCATATAAAATAATCACAGCCTTTGCGATTTCACAATCGCGTTAAGCCAAATCAGTTTAAGTGCGATAACATGTAAATTGCGATAAATCGTGCAGCATTAGTCCTCGCTAAAAAAATTAAATAACTTCTTAAAAAGATATAGTAAATTTTACTGACACCTTTTTTCTCTTTGAGTCATTTGTTAAAACAACAGCATCCCGATTTCGTTTCATTGACCTTTTCGGCAAAATTTATCACGAATCGAGCGGCTGCATCCGCAACGACCAAGGCTGCTCTGAATTCTTCAATATTGACATGGGAGTGAGGCAGGGCTATGTGCTGTTGCCATTCCTCTTTCTTCTTGTTATGGACTTCGGCCTACAGCGGCCTATGGCGACCACGGCCTACAGCGAGAAGACAGAGGATGACTTGCGGATAAAGATTCCGTGAATGATATTGCATTCCTCGGATCTATTCAACCATCACTTGGCGAGCTGATGGCTGTGATGGAAAGGGAAGCGGAAAAAGACTCCAGATAAAAACTTCCAAGAGCAAGATCCTTTGTATAGGCTAGGTCTGCACACAAACTGCAGTATACATTGACCAACAGCCTTGATGACTTTACTCATCTCGGCAGCGTTGTGACGGCAGACGGCGACTCAGACCAAGATGTCGTAAGTCGACTTGGGAAGGTCAATCTGGATGTATAATGCAATTGTCCTAGGAACAAAATTCCGACTTCTAAATTCAATCGTCATCCCCACAGCCATCTACACGAGTGAGACCTGGAAATCGTAGACAAGCATGTCCAAACATCTTCCAACAACGTTTTCGATCTCATGCCGTAACCATGTCAGCAAAAAGGAAATATACAGACCGAAGAATTGAAGCAAGGATACCCGAGAAAACATGACGGCGTACATTCATCGAAGACTTACGCGCCGTTGACCTACCATGGGACGAAGCCGAAACAGTTGCGACTGATCGAGCCCGCTGGAGATTGCTTAGCGCCCAATGCGCCGCATGGCGCAGGCGGATCTAAGTCTAAGTAAAACAACAATAACAACAACAACAACAACTATTAGTTATTTTCATGGACCGCAGAGTGCATTTGGGACACATCAGGCCAATCCCGACAAGAAGTAGCCCCCCCCCCCCCCCGCCCCCCCCCCCCCCCCCAATCCTACTTTTAGCAAGTACAATGTAAGCCACCATAATTCATTGCACATTTTACTGAAAGTCTTGCACATTGTGAATAAAAATATGCATGACTGTAGCAAATAGCCGCTGATAACTGCAATATGTGACAGTGCAAGGATGTTACACCTCGTTATAGCTAATGAAATCAAAACACAACACATCCACGACAAATCAAAAAGCCTCCCTGCTTCATGCAAAACATTCCCACATAATGTAATTCCTTCTATTTACACTTCAGTTATCAATCACTCAATAGAATCAGAGGTAATTCCTTGTGATACGGGCCACAGACTGCTCCTGGGCAAAAAAAATGGCAAAGATTAAATATTCAGTGGTATTTTAATGGTCTTAATCACAACTCAATCACTGGTCAGGAAATACTGTATAATACTGAGCATGGAATAGCCTTTCCCAACTTGCTCGACAGCTTTTTACAGGAAAGGGGTCAGTGTTGTTCCACAATTTTAATGGCTGTTCAATGGCCAAATAGTCACTATGGGGTTAAAATCTGGACTCTAACCAGGCCAAAACATGAGCCTGATGGACTTGTTGTTGGTTGTTTAAAAATAAGATTCGATCAGTCCTGTTTAGATAACAACTTTTCATTTGTGGCATGGTGAAGCACCTCACCAATACCAGCAGCTAAAGAGGCTCCCCACACAATGACACCTCCTCCTTCATGCCTCACTGTGGTAGACATACATTTATTCTATATTTATTACACATTTCTGTCCAGATTTTTGAAGACACCGCTCTGGAGCATCACCACCATGCATTTTATTTCATTGTGATTCATCCCTCCACATATTCTGCCAAAAATGTCCTTCTCTATTTGATGTTTTTCTGAGACAGCAATTATTCTTTAAGTAGTGCATTTGCCTGAATGTAGCTAATTTCCTGACCAGAAATGTGTGGTTAAGACCACTAAAAGCTTAGCGTTTAGCCATTCTTTAGTTTTGTTTTGCCCAGGTGTGTACATCTAATATGGGTAAGATTAAGTGCAGCAACATGATAACATGGCAGTACCAAGTGTAACGATGAAAGGAAAAGTGTGACCAGGGTGTCAGCACTGACCTTGAACTCCATGGGTGTGTATTTCTCATTCTTTGGTGTGGTGTTGCCCTTGTAGTTGAGGTGGTTGGGAGTGGTAGGGTGGATGACGGCAGACTCCTGCGAGGGCTTGTGGAACCGCTGGCAGTACACATACACCAGAAAGGACAACAAACCGGCACCCAGGAAGCACGACACACCCGTAGCTATCAGGTGAAGCAGAGTGAACCCTGGGAAAACAAGAGAAGGCAATATTACAGTAACCATTTGTCTGCAAATAACTGTAATATGATGTCACTCTCATCCAGACCTTTAACTAAATATGCTTTTTTAAATATATATACGGTATATATATATTATATAGTCATCCTTGTCAGTGGAAACTTTGTGATGCAGCACCATTACATCTCTCATCATTAACACAACATGTCAGTAGCCATCAAACAGTGGTGGGCAGGTGCTTGAGAGCATCTGGCTGAATGACGCAGTACCAAGTGACAGTGCTGTGATTAGCCGGTCGATGTGATGGACCAGGCATCCTGCCGGTCTGACCCATAATGAGTGCGAAATGTGATTGAGGAGAGTGAGCGCCAACCCCCCGTCATGAACTGATCTAATTGGACAACGATCAGTCCGGAGAATGCCACCGCTGGACATTGATGGGTAATATGTGCTGCCACCTGGAGAAACACCAAACTGGCACTGCGGCGCGATCTCTGAAGGCAGCCACTGCCCAATGTGGCCTGGATTCGCAACCTAAAAGGCACAGTTGTGCCCCCTCATGTATTTTTCATCTGGTGCATGCACTGGAAAGGCAGCGCACCTCTGCCTGGGAGCACGACACATGAAAAAAAAAAAAGATCAGCAATGTGAATGAAGTTCACTCACTTAAACCTGGTTTTCGATTCCATTTCTTCCTGAGTTCTGGATGAAAAGGAGCTGACGTGAAACATGACACACAAGCAGCACACTGCTACATGTCAGAGTACATGCACAAGCGCATACCAACATGCGGTGAACACAATACAAACACATCTGTCGAAGCACTTACCTCCACACTGCCGGTCCTTCTCATAGCTAGATGCCGGGAGAATTGCTGTGAAAAGAAGGAGATATATAGTTAGGGACTCTTCACACAGGATGAGGAATGGCCGTGAGCTCTTTCTAAGCATCTTGAACTGATGTTGCATATAATTCAACTCGAAACAGCATCTTCAAAACACAACGATCGTGGTTCGAGATGCATCGGAATGGTCATAGACATCCATCTAGAGCAGTAGCTGTCAACTAGTTTTGCTTCAGAATCGAAATTCCTGTAGCTCAAGCAGTGGAGCATGGCGCTAGCAATGCCAATGTCATGGGCTCAATTCCCAGGGAATGCATGAATTTACGCTTTATATAAACACATCTAAAGCTCTACTCTGTCAAACTCATGTATGCTTGTAAAGTTTACTTTAGACATGAAGTGACGACTTTTTTTTCATATAAACTTAAGGAAAAAGTGTCAAATATTACCATGAACTGCAAATGCCTGACAATGTGTAAAATTATTAATTTTATCCTTATAAAATGGATGTGCCGCCTTGATGTCATCATTAAATACATGTAAATTTCTTCCTCCTTTTTAATAAGCTTATATTTTGCCAATACAAATATGCACAATTACATGGTTAGTTGCAGTTTATTTTATTAATGCATTTAGTGTGCAGTTTTTTTGTCTCTTCTGCTGCCAAAATTTTGGTTATGACCGACAATTTTGAGTTGCGGTCAACAATTTGATGATAAACCGACCATTTAAAAATGGAGCAGACTGATGCAAGAAACAATCTAATGTGACTGGCCTATTACACACTTCCTTCTTTTTCCTTCAACTGTTGAATTGCAGCCAAAATGTCAATCACTCCCTGTCTTATATCACTCCACTCTCTTCATTCAAAAGCAACCTTCCTGGAAGTGAGGTGGTGAGGAAGACAGTCTCGTGTTTTATACCTGAGGGATGAGCAGGGCCGCAGTGATAAAGTGTAGGAAATCACATCAAAGGCTCGCAGTCAGTAGGGTCACATAAAAGTGATGAAATTATTACTGCTGTTCTGCCATTTTTCCAGTCATCAAACACCCCAAGTTTTCAAGAATAAGCAGCAATGTCAGTAAAAATCAACTGCATGCAAATTTGTGAAATACATAGCTAAACTTGATTTAAACACTCGTTTGGAGTAAATATTTCATTTTGGTTGAGGTAATGAGGTGCATTTAAATCAAATGTGTTTTTCAGTGCTGCAATATAGTCTGAAATCTCCACAAACAACAGAAATGGGTGTGGGAGGGAGATGTTTGGATTGAGATGCACAATTCTCCTTGATCTCATCATCGTCTAAGACACCTCAGGATTTGGAACCCTTTTCCCAAAACTGGAGAGAAATTGGATGTGAGTCTGCCTTGTGGCATAACATTAATATTAATTAGAGTGCCTGATTCACTTGGTATTCCGCTCTGGTAACTCGCGTTCTTACAGGCTGGGTGCGTTCACTTCTTTACTTTGAACACTTCCACTCCTCCAGCAAGAGTAATGAATAAGCACAAGTAAACATATTACATCTAATCTATTAAATACGACAGTGATTTTGACAGGGTTTTAAAGTGTGTGTTTATTTAATAAGACATTGCAATAACATCACAATTGGGAAAAGCTTAGCTTCATAATGGAATAGCTGAACAGCGTGTGAATATATGTGGGGGTTTAACTATAGCGCTCTCTCACCTGGGATCTCATTGCAGTCTCGGTGTTGGGAGCTGTTTCCCACACACGGCGTGGATTGAGCCCCGCACACTCGACTGCGCAGCTGCAGGCCCGAGTCATCACACTCAGACCACAGTGACCAGGCCATCCATCCACCTGCACGTAGACACGGCCACAAGCAAAGGGTTTAAAGAAAGAGCTTACCCCAAAATTAACATTCTGTCATCATTTTCTTAACTTCAGGTCATTCCAAATCTCTATAACTTTCTTCTGTCAAGCACCAAAATAAACAGAACTCAAAAGTTTGCACAATTCAAATATTCAAAACAATATTCAAAAGGAGTCAGTTAAAATCATCCAGTTCCCTTTCGTTGTCACTCTGAGTTATGGAAGACGACAAATGGGGTTTCGCTTAGAAAGCCTATCAGCTTTGAGTATTACAAAATGAGTCAATGGCAAAGGAATGCCATGGGTCTGCGGAATTTGCATGGCACAACTCTTCCCCAGCTTGTCGGTATAAAAGTAGGACACTGACAACATGCAGATTTGTTTTCGTTTCAGAGCCAAGTTTATTCTTCACTCCACAAACCATCTCTGAACTGTCAGCTTTACAGATGAGCGAGATTCTCCGGTGTTGGTGTGACGGCGATCTCCCAGCGAGTGCACACTTCCTGCTTATACGTGCAGTTGTTTGCCAGTGAGTGTGTTTCCTCAACTTGGTCGCCATGTCTGCGCAGCTTAAGAGCACTGCTGACTAGCCTGACACAATTCGAGGGCAAGAGTGCGGTTCCGCTTCAGCTTTGGCTTTGCGACCGAGTCCCGAGGTGGTCATGGCAACACGGCACCCTCCAAGTACCAGTTACTCCGATCTGCCGTCAGACCTTCTCCCCGTGGTAGAACCCGCGACTCTCTACGTGCTGGAGTACCCCTGGAACGAGCTTCCCGGCATGTTGTTGTCTCAACAGATGCCTCCACCACGGGTTGGGGCGCCATGTGCAATGGCCATGCCGCCGCGGGGTCCTGCATAAGACCCCAGCGCCTATGGCATGTCAATTGCCTCAAGTTGCTGGCAGTACATCTTGCTCTGCACCGCTTCCCGGCATTGCTCAAGGGTCAACACGTACTAGTCCGATCAGACAATACCGCCACTGTAGCGTACATCAACCATCAAGGTGGTCTACGCTCCCACCGTATGTTGCAACTCGGCCGCCACCTCCTCATATAGAGTCAGAAGCATCTGAGGTCGCTTTGAGCCATTTATATTCCTGGAGCCCTGAACTGTGCAGCCTACGAGCTCTCACGGCTTCAGCCTCTCCCTGGAGAATGGCGACTCAATCCCCAGTTGGTTCAGCATCTTTGGGACAAGTTCGGGACGCACAGATAGATCTGTTTGCCTCACGACTCGACCCATTGCGACCTGTATTATTCTCTGACCGAAGCTATGGTCAGCATGGATGCTCTGGCTTACAGCTGAAAATATGTGTTTCCCCCAGTGAGCCTCCTTGCGCAGACCCTGCACAAGGTCAAGGAGGAAGGACCTCCTTTCTCAGGGACGGGGCACCCTATGGCACCCTCGTCCAGATCTTTGGAACCTCCATGTGTGGCTCCTGGGCGGGACGAGTCAGGTTCGAGTACCCTACCACCAGCGGTAGTGGCTACCATCATTTCCGCTAGAGCGTAGACACGCCTACGTGTTGAAGTGGAACCTCTTTGTCACCTGGTGCTATTCTCGCCGAGAAGACCCCCGGAAATGTTCGATCGGTGTAGTGCTATCCTTCCTTAAAGATGGGTTGGAGCGAAGGCTGTCTCCCTCCACCCTCAAAGTATACGTTGCCACTATTGCCAAACACCATGATACAGTGGAAGGTAAGTCCGTAGGGAAGCACAACCTGATCATCAGGTTCCTAAGAGAAGCGAGGAGACTGAATCCTCTTCACCCTCCTCTCGTTCCCTCTTGGGACCTCTTAGTGGTTTTAACTGTTTTACTTGCCCTCTGCGCATATGTAGACAGAACGCAGTGTTTTTAGGACCTCAGACCAGCTCTTTGTCTGTTATGGTGGGAAGCTGAAGGGAAAGGCTCTCTCCAAGCAAAGGTTGTCTCACTGGATAGTGGACCTCATTGCTTTGGCATACCAGCATCAAGGTCGTCCATGCCCCCTTGGTGTGACTGCCCACTTCACCCAGAGTGTGGTGTCCTCTTGGGCTCTAGCACATGGCGCCTCACCAAGAGACATCTGCAGCGGTGCAGGCTATGCATCCCTCTGGGTCATATGTGTATTCTCTAAGTGAAACCCAATTCATCGTCATCCAATGTAACGTCTCCGTTTCCAACTCAGGGAACAAGGGTTACATACATAACCGAGACGTATGTGGTTAACACTAACAGCTCAATGGAGAAGATTATCAGTAACAATGACTTAAATTCTACTTTTATGACACTGTTGGTTGCTTTTTGAAGCTCAGTCCCCATAGAAAAGTACATCAGTACATTTACAATTTCTCTTTTTGTAGGTGCAAGGAAAAATGAAAATCCATCATAACATCAAAAAAAAAAAAAAATTCTGGGTAAACTATACTTTTAAATATAACGCTCCAATTTTGGCCATCCGCACAGTCCAGGAGTCAATCTAACCAGAGCGGACCACCCATGTACATGAAACAAACACCACCAGAGTCACACGGGGAGGCAAAAATAATCACAGTCTGAGGCAACACTTAGAGAGCAAGTGTACCAAGAACTTTACTTTGATTTCAAATGTATTTGTTTGCTGGGAAAATCTGATCTGTAAATATACATATTCCTTTCATGTTCCAGCTTTTAAAATGCTTGTCTAGACCATATGCCGTCTTGAAATTCTCTCAGAGCCTAAAAAAATGTGTCATTCATGAAGGGGGGCAACTGGGGCCAAATGTTTGAATCTAAAAGACTTCATTATCAGTAGCAAGTAACAAGTCTCAGAGGAGATCCTGGCATTTTGTAAAATGCAGATTCACAGTTAAAATGATAAAAGGTAGCCCTTTATTTTCCAAAAGCAAACAATATATCATATAGAATTTATTAGGCAGCACCCTAACTGAAATTGAATTTTATAAAAGACTGATACAGAATGTTCTACAGTACCTTCTGAGTTTTCTCTTAATATGAACTGGAATAAAGGCTCTTATTTCTGTTTAGTTGTTAATTAAACTCAAGATCTGCCATTGACAGCATGTATTTGAGATTCTTCATGAATTTAAATTGATTATTGTAAGGCAACAGAATGTGACAACAGAGCTTTGCACTGCCAGAGTCTGCTTGCACCCAGCACACTTCCATATGCATGCAGCTCACATATGGTACCATCTGCAGCCTGGAGGACCCAGAAGTCCCTCTCTGAATCTAAAGAGTGTGTTTCTGATGATTGAAAGGTCTGAAATCATGCCTTCAATACAGTGATGATCAGTTGGTCATAAATAAACCACCCTGCTGAAAAGACCAGCATTTCTTGTGTTGTGGACACAGCTGTTCTCGCCCGGCTTCTTAACTCTTTCCCTGCCAGCGTTTTTTTTTAAGCTTTTTAGATAATTTTCACAAAACTTTTATGGCCCCCATAATATTTTGTTATATGAATACCTGAACATGCAATATAAAAAAAAACCCACAAAAAACCCACAATACATTCTTTTATTGTCAACACTTGAATGTGGGTACTTTTTGTTTTAAAAAAGCAACATTTTGAACAAAAAGCCAAGAAAAAACACGCTTTTGTTAAAGATCGGATTGAGAAAGATAAACAAAACATTAACAACCCAAAGGCTTGCACAGTCCCATACCATTTCCTGGGCCAACAATGTATTCTGTAGCGTTAGACAGTTTTGAATTATATGCCGTTTAATGTTCATTTACATTTCTATCACTTGTTTCTGCTTATTTTTTTTTTTTGCGTGTGTTTTGATTCTGAGATTCTGTACTCTTTCAGAAGATGTGTAAAAATACTCCCTACCATACAGTGAACACATTTCAGAAATGTCAGTCAATGGCAGGAAAAGAGTTAAAAGGTTAAAGTTCTTCAGAAGAATTTAAATTGTGCCATAATTTACATACTCACTGACTTTCTTCTGTGGAACACAAAACATATCAGTCTATGGGCAAAAACACCATTTCAAAATATCTCCTTTTGATTTCCCGTGAAGAAAGTAAGTCATAGTTTTGGCATGATATGAGATTGAGTAAATGATGACATAATTGTCCTATCTAACCTGCACAATTTCCCTGGTCGATCAGCCTCAGAGAGTTGCTGGCAAATATATGCTGGTCAACCATGCTAATTTACGCTTGACTTTTCAGCAGGGTTGAAACTGCATGTGTTTGATTTGTGGTAATAATGGCTGTTGATGGACAGATGACACATTGAGAAGCAACTATATTCTACTTACAGACAGAGGTAGAGCTCAATTGGCTTTATGCACAGCTTCACTACTTCCTGAATTTCAGCCAGCACCTTGTTTCCTGGCTGCCATTATTGGACACATTGATTAATTCAGGTGTGCTTGACCTCAGTAGTCACGGCAACAATAATCAGACACACCTGAATTAATCAATTTTGCCCAATAATGGCAGACAGGAAACAAGGAGCTGGCTGAAGTTCAGGAAGTAGTGCAGCTGTGCATAAAGCCCATTTGGAGAACATTGAGGTTTTTTTTATAGCACGTTTCACTTAAAGCATAGTTTTTTTTTCCCATTCATAGTCTTGAATTGGAGCTGATCTTACCATCACAGGTGTGTGTGTTGCAAAGGGCCTCCTCTGTGTGCAAGCCGATGCAGATGTCCCCTCCATTGGCAGGGGTGGGGCTGGTGCATGTGCGCGTTCGTTGATAGTGCCCGCCTCCACAGGGCACTGAACATTGCGACCATGACGACCAGCAAGACCAGGCGCCGTTAACTGCACAGACCAAACACGCACAAACAAATACGACATACAAAGACAAACACAAAACAATCAGGCAAGCGGGGGGACACAATCATCCAAGCATCAGATAGCGGACACAAATGCAACACAAACAAGAAAGACGTTGCGGAGGATGCAAACACGATGTACCGAACATAAAAATAGCAGCATCAAACAGGCAAACACACAAAACAATACAAAAGTGATTTTAAACTTGCACAAGGCGGACAAGGCAAGCAAACATCTGTTATGGAATGTGATGTTGATCCAGACATTCAGAGTGCAGGAAAGAATGTCGCACGGGTCTGTTTCAAACTGCTTTATTTGACCCACAAAGCTCTTCACCGAGCACTCTAGACTTGTTACAGCGAATGCCAGCTGTTCACTTTCTTTTCTTTTTTTATTCTTTCTGAAAATTACAGATTAAGCAGATGGCTGAAATCTGTTTGGCCACCATGTCCCAAAAACCATCTTTACCACCTTAAGCTGGTATAACATACTCGTTTGTTTTTTGTCTACCAGCTAGAAACCAGGTATCATGTTTCAAATCACAGCTAGCACTTTAAACTTGGTTTTCCATTTCTGGCCAGGATAGAAGCTTTGTTGTTGTGAAGTGTCCTCCCAATTTAACAGGCCATGCCACCATCCTCTCGACGTCTCATCAGACTGATGGAGGCGAAGGTTAGGGGTGGCTCCTTCTCTCTGCACTAGAAAGCATCGTTTAACTTCAGTGGATTAGCATGTGTGTACTGGGGCATGACTGAAGTGTGAAGGCAGAGCGATCACAATCACAGTGAGTCCAGCAACCTCGCACACTGAGAGAAGAGCCAGGCGTCGGATTGCAGTACACGAGGTCAAAACGATGATTAAAATGATTGGCTGATGTCAGTGATGTGTTTGAACCTGTTGTGAACTTCTTTCTTCTAAAGAGTAGGAAACTCGGGTGTATCTTTTAAGCAGGGTTCTTTAATGCTGTTGCATCGCGGTAGTATTCCCAAGTCTGCTTCGTGCAAAAATCTAACCCAAGTCAGAAATTGGCCAATGATGCGGCTTTGGCCCACCCAGGGTAACATCACGGACACACTCGCTTCGCAAAAGATAATGATCTTACAGAACAAGAATTACCTTGGATTGCATTATTACAACGCAAGGAGGAGTCTGCACCATTATTGGCCCTGAATGCTGTGCACCGGTTAATGGATCCAACCATGGACTTGACCAAAATCCAACAAGACATTCTTGATTTTTCAACTATATTACACCAAATGACTGAAGATAATTCTTCATGGTTCGGAAACTTGATTGGTAAACCCTGGCTGTGGATAAATGAAATAGCAATTATTGTTTGTTCTACTGCCGTATTATCTATGCGTCCACAGTATCAAGATTTTCATCTAACAAATGAATCACGCCTCTCACGAGAAAATCACAGTTCCAACCAGAAAAGACTTATCCGTGAGAACTTCATGGACCCTAATTGCATGTTTGTTTTCTGTGTCAGCATGCAATTACAGAAAAGCAAACACAGAGCATGAGTTATGTGCCTGTAACGATCACAAGTTACAAGTGTCTAAATTGGAATTTTGTGAGAGTTATTATAAATCTCAAAGGGAGAAATGTAGTGTTACAAATTATTAAAATGTTTAATTCAGGTTCCAGTACAATAGTATTCTGAATGAGAAAGTTCTGCACACTGTTTTCCATTTTGAGGCAATCAAAGGTGTCAGAACATTGACCTCTTGTCACTTCTCAAAGTTCATCTGGGCCTTTGTTGATCTAATCAAGCTGACTGGATTAGCATCTCAAGGCTCTGAGTTACACTATGCTGATGAAATCAGGTAACCAGCTGAATCAACATGCTTTGTTTCAGAGTGTCTCCACCTCTATGTAACCCCACCCCCTTGAAAGGTATATCAACTACCAATGTACAGTATACTCCTTAGTCAGACTTGTACAATTTTTGGACGAAGCAGACTTGTCGACGACTGTAGCTACCTACAGCTTGTATTCACAATAAAGAATCCTGCTAAAGATACAACCAACTCTCCTGGTCTTCGCTTCTGTGTCACTTTTCCTACACTTTAGAAGAAAAAGTTCACAACAAATCCATGTGCCCTACCCCCTTCCCCTCCACTTTATTATTTCAATCTTATTTCCTCGTCCTGTCTGAGTAGAAAACAGCATAGCAAATACTGTGTGGGTGATGTTCATTTGTCACACTCAGTGAGAGTTTAGAGCGGACAATGCATTGGCAAGTATCTGCCAATATGTCTAAAGAATCACATAAACCATCTGTTGGGAACTTACACCCTGTAACACACCACCCTTACACTGTCTGTTAGCAGCACACTAAACTATCTCAGTTAGCACCATTAAATTGTTCCCCTCCTTAAAGTGTCTGTTAGCACAGTTGTACTGTTAGACTCCCTAAATGGTCTGATAGCATCACTAAACCGTCTGTTACCATCCCTTAACTGTCTGTTAACACCTTAATGTCCGTTCATGTCCAAACTCTGTTAGCACCTTTAAACGGTCTGTTAGCACCCTTCAACTCTCTGTTGGAATCTTTAAACTGTCAGTTAGAACCATTAAACAGCCTGTTAGCATCCTTAAACTGTCTGTAAGCATTCTCAAACTGTCCGTTAGCATCTTCAAAAACTCTAGCAATAGTATACTGTAGCATTACGCTTAAAACACAGAAAACTAAAAAGCAGCTCCCTGTCCACCAACTTGGTTATGTCGTTCATATTTTCTTAATTAAATATACAAATCTAGCTATTTTAGACATTCAGTTTGATGCCATTTCATTACACACTTCACCTAAAGTCCTGGTGCTAACTGGAAAGTTAATATGTTCGTGTGCTTTCTAAAAAAAAGGGTATTCGATTTAACCTTGAGTTCACGTCTTTTTGTAATTATGGTAAAACCTCTTAATTTGACCACAGCAACCCCAATGGGGCTTCAGGTTTCCATTAGCTAATGATATCAGTCATATGCTTCACATACTCTAATGGAAGCAGAGGCTTTCCCATCACGATGAGCAACTACCTTGATTATGAGCATATGTGGGAGTCAATAATGTGTGTACCTATGTAAATGAGTCTGTGCTTAAAAGAGAGTTTCTGTGTGTGTGTTACCTGGACAGGGCTGTGGATTGCAGTCCTGATATTCAACTGAAGATCCCCGGCAGGCGGTGGGAATACTTTTGCCTTCCGCACTGGTGCAGGTGCGTTTGCGAGTGCGGTAGCCTTTGGCACACTCCTGAGTACAAGTTGACCACGTCTCCCACGAAGACCAGCCAGAGCCTATCAGTCGTACACCAGGCGCCCTGAGAAGCTCCTCAACAAGAGCTGTAAACATGAATTGCATGTTACCAGTTTGCCAATACCATAACTGAATTAAACGGTTTCATAATGTATTAACTTTACACAGCTATTGAGCTGAATTAACAACGAACTGATGTGAGTGTAATCACACTATTGTCATTTTAAAGCTGTTTTACAGCAGAATGTGAAATTTACATCACTGGTTCCATTATTTTCCTATTTATTACTATGAAGCTGCTTTAAAACAATCTGTATTGTATAAATCGCTATATAAATAAATGTGAAATAACAAATTCCATGACAATAGCGAAGTCCACACCATAGCTGAGAAAAATATAGTATAACAATACGAACATTGTCAGGCAATCAGAATCCACCTGACTTTAAAGAGCATGCACATCTAATGTGGTAGATGACATAACTGCAGCATGCTTATAAAAAACAAAACATTATCATCCATTGGTGTGGATGCAAATATAGTTATCTCTACAGTTATCGTTCTTGTGTGTGAATGCCCCTTTAGTCTTTTATAAGTATTGTATTATTTAAAGGAAAGGCCTTTTCCAGTGTAATTCAAGGTTACCTTAAAAAAAAAAAAAAAAAAAAAAAATGTCATGCTGAGTTTTACAGCATCTATGACAAAACATTCTGGTCACAGCAACCTGCACAAGGTGAATTCTGACACACTCTTGTCTCTAATGCATTCCTGGTGCACCTCAAGTGGTTGACCTCCTCTGAGTTTAGACAGCATGCTACAGTTAATCAATGTGGCGTACGACATGCGCAAAGTGGGCAAGTACTGAACTCTGACCCTGATAGTCATAGTCATCAAGTCAGCATTATCAGCTGACTCAAGTCATATGTGTGTACATGAGAAAAAGGATCTATACACTCACAGTCTGTTTCACAGGTTACTGTCCCATCATTGGGGCAGAAGCGTGTCTCCACTTTACGCTTGCCCAATTGGAGCTCGTGAGGGTCAGCCAGTTGGGCCCGGCAGATGTAGCGAACTCTTTGCTCCTGCCGTGCCCCTCCCTGGGTTATGTTCACTGGCACCCAAGGGGTCCATGGGGTGTTTCGACGCACCTCTGGACAGGACTCCAGATTACACGCCTGGTACTCCTGCAATGGGGAGAAGATTGACACACTGATGACATCATCCAGTTGCTCACTCTTCATACACTGGGAACATTATGTGAAGCTCCACGGCTCACCATTCAGTGCCATCACAGTGAACCGTTAATAAAATGTAATGGCTCCTAGACACCCAAGGGGGTGTTACAGTTCTTTGCAAGGAACGTTAATTTGAGTCCTAATTAAGTCGATTACATTTGAATTAATTGCAGCTCTTAAAAGAGAGTTGGAGAGCAAAGAAATCTGTCCGATTTAAAATGCAAGAGCAAAAGAGCACTTTAGGAAACTGAATGCTGTTTTGATTTGTCCTAAAATCATTTAATGGTATTCTTATATAGTTTTTAAGTTAGTATGATTACTTGACTAAAATGGTTAGTTTGAACTGGAAGCAATTTATTTTTACTCTGCATGCCACAGTTTTTTATTACATCACAGGTGAAAACTTTGTCATAATTTTAACATCACATTTTTCTTTTAATGTATCCAAATGGAAACCGTATATAGTTGTAAGACTTTCCCTACAGTGAATATGAGTAAGTTCATTTTTTATAGGCACACCCTAAACGTCTTGGCTACAATATATAAAATAAATATACTTAGTTATACAATTATTATAAAAATTTGTTTTATTTAATTTTCACTTTGAAGATGAGGAATGTAAATAACTACAAGGGGCGTAGGCAGGCGGTGTAGATGATCAGCGGAAAGTAAATGACAGTTTTAGGACTGCATATATTTTCAAAATGAAACAGTGTTCTGGGCAGATTTGTCAGGGCCACTCAGTCTATCTTAAATCACAAATAAGCTCCACTTTTACAGTGCATCACACATATCTTTCTGGGAGGAGAGCTGCTTTGGTTATCATGGTCAAGCAGGAGGCTTCAATGCTACAGTTTGTGTGTGTAAGTGTGTGTACTTCAGGTGTACGTACCAGCGCACACCCTGGGCAGCTATTTCCATTCTCACAGTTCCTGGAGCGCGAATGCACCCCTCCCCCACACTCTGAGCTGCACTTGGACCAGGGTGACCATGAGGACCAGAAGATGGGCTGAGGGCACGACACCTTCTCATTGCAGAATCTGTCGAGCGTGAAAAATATGCTTCATTGATATCATGAGTATAAGTTGGTCAGCATTAAGTAGATAAAACTCAAAAGAAATGCTAGCTTAAAGAATGTTAGCTCTTATAATATGAAAAATTGCGATGAACCTATGACATTTAATGTAATTAACATCTAACCTGCATCACATTTGATTTAACAGTTGCACGAAAGCAAATGTGAACTTAATGCACACACACATCGGGTTTTTATTTTTTTTAATGGAGACATTCCATAGACATAATTATTTTTATAAAACGGTTAGTTCCTATCTTTGATTCTGATTGATTCATGAAAACACGGCTATGACCGCTTCACCCAACTGTTCTATTTATCACTGTGCAACACTGCAGTTTCCCATCTTGTTTTCATTTGAGCTATCATGCATATTAACAGAGCCCGTCTAACGGAGAGCCTTGGCACTTCCTATTAGCCCCATTGTGTATCATCCTGGTTGCAGTTCCATTAGAATTCCACTGGAGGTGATCGCGGGCGAGTGCAGAGTGAATGAGATTCTATGGAGCTAAATGGCTAAATGCATCTCTTTCACCTGCTTGTCGTTGAATTAACATAGATTTTATTGTTGATTCCGCAAGTCCAATATAGATTATAGGCCAAAAGTCGAATGAATGAGTACTTACTATCGAGTAGTACTATCTTAGCCCTCCCTTTTGAATGCAACTTTCAAATTACTTGACAAAAAATTACATCCTGAGAAAAGTGGATTTCTGGGGGCTAAACTCCATAGACTCCCATTCATTCTGCACTCGACCGCGAGCGCCCCCGCATGGACACAGACGTGTTACTGCAGCCAGTCCAGAAACTGGAAGTGACCAGCCAGTGCCAATTCTCTTCAATTAGACATTCGCTGATATTACACATTGGAACGTTGTTGCTGTTCACGGTCAGGGACTATTTTTTTTTCTAGCGGAAGGAAGGCTTTTAGTGATTTTACTTCATGAAAGTTACACTAATACATATTTTTTTTTCCTTTAATATTTTTATTGTGTAGTAACCGTTTTATAAAAGCAATAAGGTACCTGAGGCAAGTGCTGTATCGTGAATTAGTAACGGCTAACAATACCCTTCAGCCGTTACTTATTCACGATACAGCACAACCTCTCGTACCCTTATTGCTTATTCATAGTGTACAAACTGTATTCTATCCCCTAACACAAAACCTTCTGCATTTTAGGACATATAACTTAATCTGATTTAGAAAACTGTTGTGCTCAAATGCCCTCACAAGGACAAGGATTTTGGATATTTTCGTTTTTTGTTGGGACATGTCCCTGTAACGTAGGGTTTACTACAACCACATACAGTACACACACAAAACGTACACACACCTCTTCTCCAGCTTGCTTCCTAATCTAGTCCAGTAAACCTGGCATTGTATATTATGAACATTGTTGGCTCTGTGATAATATGCCTTTATTACTCTATTGTAATGAAAATTTCAATCTGTTCATAACACAGATGTATCATATGATGTTGGAAGACTTGGGTTTTTGTCTATTGGAGTATTTTGGTTGTGTTTTTAGGTCCTTTTTGTCCTTTTTAGAGTTGAACAGTCCCTGTTGAAGAGTTGAAGAGTTCATAGGGATCTATGAATACTTATGTAAAAAGTAACAGAATATAGTTTAGAGCAAATAATGGGAAAATGATGTCAGACCACTAGAGCAAAATGACCTTTTTCAGAGGGTGAAATCTGAAATCTAAATAATGACCGTTTTGGTTTAAAGACTCTGACAAACATTAAATGTGGATCCCAGGGGTCCATAAAAAAAGAATCTTGCTCATGTGAAAGAAAATATAATTTGAGGCTGCTTAATTATATTACCTAAAATGATGATACTTTACAAGTTGTGTTTGTTTTATTTAAAGAAAAGACTCTCTTTTTTTACCTCTGTTCTCTGCTCTGCCCCACACACACCCGGCCACCATGCCTGGGTGAAGGATTGTTACAGGATCGCTGGCGGACTTCAAACCCAATCTCACAGCTTGTGCTGCACTGGCCCCAGGACGACCAGGGTGTCCATCCTCCATTCCTGCAGAAAAAGAAGGAAAAAACAGTGAGCAATTTGCTAAAGTGCTCTCCGTTCCTGCAATGTATCTCGCATGATGAGAGAACTGCCACTTCTAGCAAAAACACAATTTAGTCTCAGCACCTTGGATGCAGGATGGCACAAAAAAAGCACAACTTTTTACTCGCCTTGAACAGTTGGACACCTCAATGGTGGGACCCTCACAGTTTTTACCTCCACAGCGAGGGGACGGGCTATCGCATGCTCGCGATCGACAAAGACACGTACTGGTGCCTTCGCCATCATCATGACTACAGGGTTGCCATGGAGCCCAGGGCCCATATGCACCATCTGCGGTTTGGTTCCTCAGCTGGAATTAATGAGAAAAAAAACGTGTGAATTTGAAGGTTCGGTGCGTGCGGAATCTCAATCCTAAAAAATAACGACCACAAAGCAGCTGCCTCAAGTGATGTTATCAATCATGCGGCATAGCACCTTTCACGCAACACAGATTTCAAAGCAGCGTTGGGAGACTGACTGAGAGCTATGGAGACGGCGGTCATGTGTCGAAACTTCAGTCATGCTTCAAGCAGTGAGTGTGGTGGACTCTTTAAATGGCTGGTCCTTACCGGGCAGGCAGTGATATTCTGAAACCACTGGCTCATGTTGGAGCTGTCCTCTATAGTGGTGCAGCGGCGCTGCTTTCGGTCCCAACCACAGTAAGGGTCCCTTGCATCCAAACACGTCCTAAAATAGATGGTAGAAATAGAGATAGTGTATGAATAGATAGTGTATGTAAAAAAGTCAACATTAAAGCTGCAGTTCGCAGTTTTTCCTCTGTCACCATCTCTTTTATTATCAACTTTATGTGGGTTGTGCCTCGGCATGGCACAGCAAGGATGAATCCAATGTTTTGAGGAGAATGTGCAGGTGTCAGTCACCGCGCCTGACACCGGTGTGCATACTGTCACTCAAAATCACACATTATGCTTTTTGAAAGTATGACCAACATAAGAATTTTCACCAGTAAATGTCATCTAAACAAGTAAGTAACATCCACTTTTGTTCTGACCAACTAAGGGGAAAAAAAGCATTGCAGTAAATCAAGCAGATCAAAGATAACGATCGCTTATTATATCACGTCAAACCGTGCTAATTATACTTTGTTCTCAAATTGTTAATGTTAACAATATCGGCATTGCGTGACTACATTTAATGCCCTTCCGATATTCATCCTTGTTTTCGCTTGTTTTCGTCTCTTTTCCCAAACTCTCAGTCCAAAGTCTTTTGCGTTTTACATCAGGTGAATCTCCAATTGTCACTGGTGATTGTCGTTTGAACCTTTCTGGATCTGCCATCAAATTAATTAATTGAATTATATCAAGTGCTGTGTGTAAAGGCTATAAATCTCCACCTTCAGCATCCTCACTCGCAATATAGCCTACTAGCCGAGACTCCTTCTTTATGTTTACAGATGTGACGTAATGACGCAAAGACACAGCGGAAATACACCAGTAAAACTGAATTAAAAACAATATTACAAGCTTACCATGTAGAATCGAGCTAAGGCAAGCATATAGTTTTGAACTTTATTCTTTTTTTTTATCCAAAATTTATTTCTGATAATTTTCAAGCCAAAAAAACGTCACAGACTGGAGCTTTAAATTAGAATTGGCCTTATTTACTTGTTTTGTTTCAGGTCTAGCTAGATCCGCTTGTGCTTTGGTCGATGAAGCAACAAAACGTCCTCGCGGAGCGCAAGCCGTTGAAATGATGGGTTTCATAGCGCATGCCACGTCCTGTTGCTAAAGCATATGAAAAAACGACAAAGTTTGCTAGGCCAAAAAGACCGTTAATCGCGCGATAAAAAAATTGACGCTGTTAAAATGGGTTTGCGTTAAAGGGACACTCCACTTTTTTTGTAAATAGGCTCATTTTACTACTCCCCCAGAGTTAAACAGTTGAGTTTCAAATCCATTCAGCCGATTTTCTGTTATTTAGAAATATATCCGTAACCAGACGGTTTCTGCTCTCATTGACTTCCATAGTAGGAAAAAAAAAATACTATGGAAGTCAATGAGACCAGAAACTGTCTGGATATTCTTCTAAATATCAGAAAATCGGCTGAATGGATTCAAAAATGGTGAAACTCAACTGTTCAACTCTAGGGGAGTTGTAAAATGAGCCTTTAAATATCCCTTTAACGCCGTTAATAACGCATTTAACTGACAGCCCCAGTAAACAGTTAAGTACATCTAACGTGACAGTAAAGAGCTTTATAATGTTCTTTTTGTCTTTCTTTTATAATGTTCAACTTTATAATTTTCAATCTTTCTATTTATCAAAGAATACTGGAAAAAAAAAATATTGTAGTTTCCACAAAAATATAAATTCAGTTTATTTACTCTATTAGGTTAAATATATAAAATGTATACATGTGAAATCTACCGATATCAGCATGCGGGCTAGATGATAACATAGCTATTTCAAATATCTAATGGTTATTTTAATGCAAATAGCTATTTATTGTTTGACTTCATTGGGGTATGCAACAGCCACATTTCACGATCCAGATGATTCCCAGACAAATAATTGGATAAAATAAAGTTGAATATCCTGTTGTACTGTACAGATAGCAAAAGAAAAATGGGTTGAAAATGAAAATTCACATTGACTTTTCAAATGGAGACATCCAAAATCTGCTTTTCTTGCTTAACATCGTAGATTAAAAACCTTGCACATTAACTGACAGCAGCCGTAGGCACTACAGTTCCCAGATAACAAATCTAAACCACGTCAGGGAGAATTCCCCATTCTTTCTACAAAACCCTTGCTACGCAACACCTCGAAATTGATTAAATATTTGTAAGCTGCTAAAAAAGAGGCCTAATGAGGTGTAATTAAATCTAAACCGACTAATGAAGTTAAGCCATGAGTGCCGTTTCAAGGTCTCCGGAATGTAGGGCGTTATGTTAGTAAAGCACCAGCAGCCTCACAACCTTCCCTTTAGCTTGAAAGGCTCGATTTTGGCACAAGTGTATCGGTTTGTTTGCGCTGGCCCTTTGGCGTTCCAGCCTCAAGGTTGAGGAAACACACAGAGTGTTGATGCAGTGCAGAGTGCCAAGACTGAATCCTGCCGAGAAGGGAGCTCGGGCTGGGCTGAGTGCTAAACCACTCCAACGCTTCAAGTCTGTCAGGAATATAAAGGCAAAAGGAAAATATATCGCCCTTCTACACTTTCATTTACATAGATCTTGGATGACCCTATCGTAAAATGGCAAAAAGTGGAACTGTCATCATGTGTTGTTTAAAATTCATATGATTTATCTTTTTCAGTGGAACTAAGGCTAAGGATTTGGGTTATCAGTACATACATTTTCCTATCATAAGAGAAATTTAAGGTTGAATTACTGCCTTCATGTTTTTCAAGTTCACAGTCATCGCAACTCAATGTCTACCAGCACTAAAGCGAGCAAGCATTTTCAATTAATTGTCTATAGGGTCATTCGTGTCGACTCAACCAGAGGTCCCCAGCTTTTTTGTCAGATCATAAATGAAGAGGAAAGCCAAAATATTAAATGTCATAGATGTATATTTACTGAGTAATCCACTGTTTTGTAGAGGGCGGTCAAAATGACTATTTTCATGAGATTTGGAGCCAAATTACAGGGGGATAAAATGACTTTAGAAAGATGGCATTTTATTGGATTTTTACAGAGATTGATAGGTCTATTAGTAAAATCTGTTTACTTTAGCAGTCATATATGCCAATGGTGACAGTAAAAAATGGGAAAAGCACTTCTTGTGTTATTTGCTCCAAGTTTGTGTACCAGCAACTCAGTAAGTATTCAAGATATCTTAATATCCTTTTAAATTCTGGTTCTTAACAAACTTTTCTTTTGATATCTTTATTTTAAAGGCCCAATATGGTTCAAGCCCAAATATATGGAGATGTTAATGCAGCTCCATGAGTAAATGAGTTAATTGTTCACATTTTCAGTGGTCGAAAACCAAATGTCACTTTGCATACAGTTGAACAACAAGGTTGAAACTAGAAATGTTTCTGCTTTTTTTCTAATTAACACAATTGTATAGAACATACCTGTCTGAGTGCCATAAATATTGTTTTTCCAAAGTTTGCATCTCTGTAACTCAAGAAGTGTTAAAAATATCTTAATTTCGTTTTATATTCGTTCCTATGAAACTTTTCTTTAGGAATCTCAATTTTTAAGGCTATATGGTTCAATCCCAGAGATATTGGGATGTCACGATATCTTATCCCAAGTTACGATACTGCGTGTTTGAATTCATTAACAAAAAAATAACAAAAACCTTTCTTCCAAATATCCTTGGAACTGATTCAAATTCAGATTCTTATAAATACACTTTTGAGATCAAGTTAATGTGCCTCAACTTGACCATTTCAGTGTACATTTGGCACTCAGAGAGGTATGTTCTATGCAATTGTGTTGATAGAAAAAAACAAAACGATACATTTCTAGTTTCAACATTATTTGTTGTTCAGATATTCCTCTTTACAAGAAAAAAGTATCAGCTATATTGATAGTGACTTTGGTTTTTGACAACTGAAAATGTGAACTATTAACCAATATACTCATTATAAATATCAAGCGCAAGTAACTATGTGGGCGGGTCTTTGGCGCTGTTGCTATTTTACCGGCGGAATGAATGACTCTTGCGCCCGGCGCAAGTTTAAAACGGGTTGATCTGAAGTAGCCTCATTATTCATAGGTGTGGTTTGGAAGTAACGTGAAATAAACCAATCAGAGCGCCATCCAACATACCCTTTAAGAGCAGGTTGCATGGTGCAAACAGGTCTGATCTTTCAGCAATTAGCCTTAAAAAAATTGGGTAATTAGGTTTTTTCATCTTCATGTGTTATTTTTTTCCTTGTTATAATGTTTGATTTGCAACACTAAAAACTGCTGAATCTGTGTTGATGAGAGAATCAAAGTGTATGCGCGTTGTGCACCCGCTACATAATGGCCAAGCATACACACTTACACTTACTGAACAACGCGCCACTAACTTTAGATCCGTTTTTTTCTGGTTAGTGGCGCAATTGTTTTCTGGAACTGTAAAATAGCACCAGGGATTGTTTGCGCCGAAACACGTCTCCTTTTAGTGCCGATCCACCCAGGGAGCGCAAGTTCATTTCCTAGTTTACCGACGTGCGTCTTTGGAGCAAAAAAGCCCGCTTTGCGCAGGTGCAAAATAGGAATGAGATTTGCGTTAGCGTATAAAGTCATTTACGCTGGGTACAAGATAGAGCCCAAAGCTCGTTATCCCATTTTTGAACAGTCACCGTTGGCATGTGGTAATAATACAACAAATGCAACAGAGATTACTTAAGTCAACAGATTTCACTAATAGACCTACCAATCTCTGTGACATTTAATATTTTGGCTTTCATCACTATTTATCTTTGTATTTCTTCAGAAAAACAAATATTGAAAAAAAAAAAAAATCTGAGCTGGGGAAGTTTCTGAAACTTGGTTGATTTGACACGGAATGACCCTGAAGCAGAGTTTAGCACCAACTTGCCTCAACAAACCTGCCTGAAAGTTTCTACAATGCCTAGCAAGCCCTTGGTTAGCTGGTATAAATGTGTTTAATTGGGGTTGGAGCTGAACTCTTCAGGAAATTGGCCCTCCAACAGCAGGATTGGACAACCCTGCCCATAGCAACTGGCTAGCAGGCTCAAGTGGGGGATTGTGGGACTGAGA